GAGTGCTGGGAGGCACATCGAAGGAGATGAATTTTAGTCCCAAGGGCAGTAGGGAGCTTTGGAAAGGTTGAAGCAGATCTGAGTTTTTGAAATGTCTTTCTGGTTGCTAGGTGAAGAATGGACTGAATGGAAGGGTCAAGATTAGAGGTGGGGAGAAATGCAGAGAGGCTGTTGTAGGCAACCAGGAAAGAGAGGGAGGTGGCTTGGACCTTGTTAGTGGTGAGGAAAGGGGGAGAAGTGAACAGATTGGAGGGGTTTCAGAAGAGAATGGACAGGGGCTTGATGGATTGAATGGCCCACGGCAGCAGAGAGAAGAGTCTAGGCCACCCCTCTCCCGCCCAGGTTTCCAGGGTGGGTGCCTGGCAGGTAGAAGTGCCCTTACTGAGCTAAGAGACGCCCAGGAGCAAGAGCAGACTGAAGAACTGGCATAGCGTTGGAGGCACCGCCGCAGAGGTGCAGATGGGACAGTCAGAAAGGACGCCCTGGTGGTGGAGCAGCGCAGAGGTCGCCAGCTCAGAGCCCAGGGCCTGGCAGGAAGGAGAGTCTGCGGCTTTCCAGGACGTGGTGGGGACTGAAGCCAGGGTGGGTGCTGGTGGCACCTGGGCCCTCCCGCCCTATCCCCAAGCTCACCGCCAGCGAGTGCTAGTCGTGCTGATCTGCCTCTCGGTCGCTCCCTCTCTCAGCATCAGCGTGCTCACGGTCAGCCTGCCCTTGAACCTCGCCAGCCAGGGGCAGGTGGAGCCCATGGCCACAAGGTACCATTTCCCGTAGATCTAGAAGGCACACAGCGCCGAGGGTCTAGATTTGCCTCAGACCTCAAAGAAGACCAGGTTGACATCTCCTCCCCTCCCTCCTCTGAATGACTAATCCCTTCAAGTGACAGCATCTTCTAGCTAATTGGAGGCCACACCTCTTTTAGGGAGAATCCACCCTAATAGCGGAGCTTCAGGCCTCTGGCAAGCTTAGAACCGGGGTGCTCAGGGGGTGCCACCTGCCTGGCACACGGCCTTACTCTGTTGAGAGCTGAGGTCTGTGCTGTTCACTTGGATGGGCTCCAAATCCTTGTGCCCCAAGGTCACCATCAACCACTGCTCTCCAAGAGCCGGGTCAGGGACAGGGCACTCACCACCTCGCAAGCAGCCCTTGGCTCCATGTTAGAAAGTATCTCCTGTCCTTGAGCTGATGCAGGACAAGCCTGACACTTCCTCCCCGACTGCGCATCAGGGAGCTGAGAGAACCCTCACGTCCCCCCGATGAGCCTCCGACCCTTCGCCACCCCAGACCATGGCCGGGCCCTGTTCCTCACTGCCGGCCACCATGACCTTTCCTGTCCCTGAGAGTAAATAAAGTCCACAGGACGCCACACCTAGGAGGGTCTGAGAGCCCCTCATACCGATGTGGAGACTGAGCAGTGGGTAGTCAAGCTCCTGTCCCAGGTCACCCAGTGAATGGGGCAGAGCTGGGCCAGGTGGGAAGTCCAGCGCTCCCCGCACACAGCACCCTGCCCAGGCCTCATTCCCACCAGCCCCGATTCGGTCCTGCTTCTCTTTGCCCCATAACCCCACATGCCCGTCCTGTGCCACCCAGGCCGGCGAGGGCAGAGATGCTATGGGATGTGGTGAGGGCTTAAAGGGCAAGGGCTGGGTGGGGTGGGCAGGGGAGTCCTGAAAGGCCAGGCACTGTGGGGGCTGCAGGGTAGCAGTCAGCACAAGGCCTTCTCCAGAGGGGGTTCCCCTCGGAACCCGAGAGGACAGGTTTGAACATGAGGGCACTGGACTCAGAATGTCAGACAAGAGTCCCACAGAATGGCAGGTGCAGAGGGTTGTATCTTCAACAATCCCAGAGGGTCTGAGCAGGAAAAGCCTTTAGGGACCCAGCCCTGGAGTTCCAGGAGGGGAGAATGCCCCCCTCCCCCGCCCAGCAAGGCCCAGCTGCTCAGACACGGCTGTCACCCCGAGGCCAGCCTTACCCGAGGTGTGTCGAAGTTCTCCTGCACTTGGATGTCATCTGGCAGTGTGGGCACAGGGTTGGCACTCACTGCCAGGCAGCAGGCCAGCTGCAGAAGCAGGGCCCCGAGACCCCGCATGGCTCTGGCTCCTCTACCAGGGGGTCACTCACGGGCTCAGTGCGGGACAGAGGAGCTCCCTGACCGAAGCAGCTGCAAACTGGGGCTGGGGAAGGGACTCTTGGTTTGTAGGTGACTTTGGTGTTTGCCCTGCTCGGCCAGGGCCAATCAGGACCCTAAGGCTGGGTCTGATTGATCCCTGTAGGGCCCTGGCTGGGGTCAGTGGATCAAAGGGCCCAGGCTGTCCGTTTCAGAGGAGGCGCTGGCCAAATACAACAGGGCCCGATGCAGCCCAGTCTGGGTTCACCCCCAGAAAGGCTTCCCCAGAGACTCCCCACCTGTCACAGGGCATGTGAGGATGAAGGACACGGGTAGCCTTGACCTTTCCTGTTGGTCATTCCACCTCGACCTCACACTCCTGCCAGTCAGAAGGATAAGCCTGATGGGCCCGTTTCTCACATGAGAAAACTGAGGCCCAGTCAGGAAGTGATTTATCAGAGGCCATAGGGAAGTCTGTACCCTCCTGTGCCAGCGTTCTTCCTCTCATGACTGGTTTCCCATGGCCCCAGCAAATCCTAGGAGAAATGATGATGATGATGATGGTGATGGTGATGGTGATGGTGACAGCTTCCATTCACTGAGCACCTGCCAAGTGCCCTCTGTGTTCCAGCCTTAACACTCTCCAGGGAACTGAAGTCAATCCCCACACCCACCCCATAAACTAGGTGCTGTTGCCCCCCTTACAGGCAGGACGTTTGAGTCTCCAAGAGGTAAATGACTTGCTCGAGGTCTCACATCTTGTAAGCGGCATTGCTGGGGGGAGGCAGCATTTGGTGTGGTTGAGAGCATGGACTCGGGAGCCAGACTGCCTTCTGTGTGGCCTTGGTGAGCCATTAGTTAAAATGAGGTCATCCTGGACGACCGTCACCCCCAGTGACGGTTGTCAGCAGGGCCCTAAATCCAATGACTAATGTCTTTCTAAGAGAAAGGGGAGGGAGATTCAGACAGAGGCCCAGAGAGACATGGAGGGAAGACGGTCACTGGAAGACGGAGGCAGAGAATGGAATGAGGCAGCTAAAGTCAAGGCCAAGGACGGCCAGCAGCCACCAGAAGCTGGAAGAGGCAAGGAAAGACTCTTTCCCAGAACCTTCGGGAGAGACGTGGCCCTGCTGACAACTGGGGTTGGACTTCTAACCTCCAGAACCGTTAGAGAACGAATTTCTGTTGATCGAAGCCACCCAATTTGTGGTACTTTGTTAACGGCAGCCTTAGGAAACGATACAGTATTCATTAAATTAAAAAATTTGAATGAACAACTTTTAAAACCTAGGTCTGTTTGTCTTCAAAGCTCAAACTCTTGCCAGGAACACTGCGGGCCCTCTCTACGAAGTGCTCTTCTCTGGTGGTCAGAGAAGCTGTCCTTCCTCCCTGCAATCAGCATGGAACTTTCCATACTCATAGCAGCATCCCTGCTACAGCGGGGAATGACCCCTCAGACAAGTGGCTCCAAAAGCAAGACCCCTGCTCATGTGAGAATCCGGACCTCCCCCCACACAGCGCAGCACCAACAGTGTGTTAGAGCCCCCAGTGTCAGGAACAAGTGTGTCTCTGTTCATCTCAAGTGGGTGTGTTTCATTTGCTCCAACACTGACAGCTTGGCTACTGATGGCATCTCCTTTTTGCTTTGGCTGCCAGGAAGCTCAAAGCCGTGTCACAAGTTTAATCACAGCAGTCGTATTGGTTTATATTTCAGGGACAATTATCTTCCCTCTGTTCACAAAGTGCTGTATGGTTTGGTTAGTGGTAGTTCGGAGGCAGTCTGAATTAGGAGGAGTTCGGAGAAGCAGGAGCCCGAAGCCCTGGTGGTTTGTTCTCTGTGACTTTGGGATGAATTTCCCTCTCCGAATCCCACTTTCCTCACCTGGAAGCTAAAAGACCCCATTCTGTCTGCCAAGGGGATAAATGAGGCAACATGACAGTCCACTGTCCTACCTGTGTGATAGACTCAGGGTATGCCTGTCTTTGGAGAAACCAGGCCTGCCTAGTATAAGTGTAAAAATAAGTCATTAATAGTGGAAACAGCATCTTATGAAGGTCGCCTACAGCGTTCCACGATGGCTCCTCTGATCTTCACAGCAGGTCTGCATTATGATTGTCAACCCCACCCCCGCTGGCTCATGGGAAGCTGGAGGCACTGGGGTATCTGGGCCTCTTAGGACCGGCTGCTCCTTCAGCCACACAGCCTCTCCTGGGGGAGGGGAGAGGCCAGAGGCCCTGCTGGGATGTTGATTTCTTCTCCTGCCTCCAGGGATGTTTGCCCTCTTGAGATTATTAACCAGCACAAACAGACGGCGCAGACTCTGCCAAGGCCCACTGCACTTTGAGCTGCTTTTTAAAAATTAACCCCGCCGCACGAAGATGCACGGCTGGCAGTGGTCAGGAGGTGCTGACCCCTCTTCCCTCTCTGGACATCGGGGTGGGAGTGACGGAGGCTCTGGGGCCCCTGCCCTCCTCACCCCTTGGGACCCAGAGATCCAAGAGTCCACAGGAACTGGCCAGGTTCTGGAACCATTTCAAGGGGAGGGGAAAGGCCTGCCCTGTAGGAGGCCTCGGAGCCTCAGAAGTGCCCTGAGCCGTGGAGAAGAGAGGCCTCATTTTCAGATGAAAACACGGGCTCAGGGAGGAAATGGGACTTGTCCAAGGTCATCCAGCTTGTGGCCGAGCTCCGGGCCAGATCAGCCTGACTTCCAACACCCTGGGTTCCCCCATCACTTATTCATTCATCCACTTATTCATTCACCAAATACACACTGGTGGCAAGGACAGGGTGGAGAACACGGCGGGACCCTCAGAGCTCACTCCCGGTCAGGGTGCGATGGGAAGGGGGGAGGAGATGATGATTAGATAGGATGGTGATTGCGGTGAGGGGGAGAGCTGAGGCCAGGGGAGAGGAGTCTAACCCGATGAGGGGGAGTTAGCCAGAGAAGACATACATGGGGTGTGTGAGGGGCGGGAGGGAGTTGTTATTCCAGACAGAAGGAACAGCAACTGCAGAGGCTTAGAGGAAGAAATGCATTTGGAATACAAAACCCAAACATGAGGAACAGCGGGGTGTGGTGAGGTGGCCCAGCAGTTAGGGCTGTGATGCCAGGCGAGGGGCTTGCCCCTTATCTGGAGTGTATGGGAGCATCGGTGTGTCTTCAGAAGCGAGTGGCCAGATTCCTAATCGGGAGAGATCACCGAGGAGGCAGTGGAAGTGGGAGGCCCAAGAAAGCAACTCCCTAGGAAGTTTTCCAAAAAGAAGGACAGAGCTGGGGCACTGGGACCTGTTGACTGAACCAGCAGGGGTATCAAGGACACTGGGCAGAACTCAGACCAAAGGGTGTGGTCGAGGTTCAGGCCTCCCTCTGCTAATGGTGGAAGGGGACATCCTCAGAGGGTGACCTTCTTTCCATAGAAGGAGGCAGCCAGCTGCAGGCCTTGCCCAAAATGCCTGCCCCTTGTCTCAAAGAGCTAGGCCACTCAGAGATTTGGGTCCCTGTTTTTTATTTTTGTTTTGTTTTTAAATTTTTGTATATATCTTTATTGATTTCAGAGAGAGGGCAACAGAGGGAGAGATAGAAACACCAATGATGAGAGAGTCATTGATCGAGCCCGCAACCCGGGCATGTGCCCTGACCAGGAATCGAACCTCGATCTCCTGGATCCTAGGTCGATGCTCAACCGCTGAGCCGCGCCCGGCCGGGCCGGGTCCCTGTTCTTGTAACTTGCTGGGTGACCGTGGGGCAGTCCTTCCCTCCCTGACCTCGCCTCCCTCATCTAGACCTCCAGATGAGGGTAATAACAGCTCACTTGACCGGGCTTAAATAAGACCAATGAGGGACATTTGTGAAAGGCTCCCCAAGTGTACACACAGGAGGAACCGATGTCATCAGAGGCTTTTAGCACAGCTTTTACCGGGCCAGCCCCACACAGGCTGCAAAGGCGTGAGCATCCCGTGCCCACTAGAGGGCAGCGGAGGACTAGGAAGACCATGGGTTTGCTCGCAGGACTGTAGAGACCAGGAGCCAGAGGCTAAGGCCAAAGCCCGGAGAACTGTTCCCCGGAGACCTCCTCGCCGGAGCCTGCTTAAAATGGTGAGTGTAAAACACCCAGCTTCCACCTTGCCTATCCCCACCCTGGGTACAGAGGTGGGTGCTTAGGTGGGGCCCCTTTAACACGAGTTCCCTGGGAGAGCCTCCCTGTGAGCCAGAATTGGGAACGGCTGTTAAAGACCACAGAGGCTGTAACCTGAATCATAACTTGATTAAGGTCCTGTGATGTGCAATGTGCCAAACCCCGTGCTGAGCACTCCACCAGCACCTCTTACTGAGTCTTCCCATTAAGGTACAATCATTTCACTACGATGGTAGTCATACTTTGCAGATGGGGAAACCGAGGCAGAGAAATCGGGTGATCCAGTGTCAAAGGGCACCCAGCCAGTGAACAGCAACTGAAACCCAGATCTGTCTCCCTGACACCCACCTGAGTCACTCTGCTGACCTCCCAGCCCCTGTCCCTGATAAACAGCAGGGCCTTGGGCCGTGTTCTTTCAGAGACCTGAGCTGGGGGTGGGCTGTTTCCCTTTGCTGAACTCCTCACAGCTGGAGTCAGGCTTTTGGGAGTCAGGCTTTCCCTTCTCCAGCCAGGAGCCTGCTCAGTGCCTGCCTAGCACTGTGCTGGGCACTTAGTAGGTGCTCAGTGAACACATGCTAATTGGCTTACTTAGAACTGTGAGGTCAGACCCCAATAGGGACCATCCAGATAGAAGACAGATGAGGGAGACTGGGACACTGAAATCCTCCCCAAGTCCTTGAACAGCGATCAGTGAGCGAGTGACGGAGACAATGAATGATACAATTTAAAAAGCAAAGAGCCCTTGCTCCTCGGGGGTGTTTTCCTTGTGTCACTGAGTTTGAATTAGTCTGTGTACCTGGGAGGATGCCCAGGGCTCTGTGATTAGAGTGGTGGTTAAGCAGCTGAACTTTGTACCCGGATAGACCTGGTTTCCAGCCACGGCCGTGACCCCTTCCTGCCTGTTTGATCTGCACTGAGTTACTCCGCCTTTCTGAATCAGAGTCTTTCCCTGTTAAATGGGGTTAGAAAGAGCTCAGAGTGGTGAAGTAAATGACAAGAAACACATCATGTTCTTGCCCTTTGGAGAGAGCCTAGCAAATAGTCAATGCCACCCCTGGGTGGAGGGGCCCTCAGGTGTTGTCAGTTTAGCTTCCTGACTGTGAGAGCAGGAGGCTTAGCCCGGAGAAGCAAAGGGTGAGACTCTTTGGAGCTGAGTGTCTTTGAGATCAGGCTGCACCCGGGACAGAGTTGGTGACCCAGGGTCTGGTCCCCTTTGGCCTCTAAAGACAGGGCTCCCGAAGGAATAAACTTCCAAAGGTCTGTCTGCATCCAGGAAGACACACATTTCCTGCTCTTCTCAGGCTGGCCTTATCTGTCCCTTAAAGCAGGACCTCCGGTGGCCAGCCTGACTCCTGGCTGACCAAGGTGACGTCACCCAATGTCCTCGGGGGGGACTGAGATAGCTCTTTTCTGAAACCACGAGGCAAGCTAGACTCTTCACAAAGTCCCGCTGGCTTTTTTTCAATGAAGACAAATGAATTCCTCCCAGCCGGCTGCCCGGGGAGGGCAGCAGGAACTCTCCCCTGGTGCCTTCATTGGGCAGGAGTCCTGAATGGACACCTCTCCCTGGAAGAAGCCAACAGATAACTGGAGTCCAGATATGAATATAATTCTTCTCCTGAGAGTACAGGAATGGCAGAACGTTCGTGCTGAGAGCATCCATTAGTAATAAAAATAGTAATAGCTAGCATTAATTTTGCACTGACTGCATGCCAGGCTATGTCCCAAACAGTGTATATGAGTCCACTCTCAATCCTCACATCATTCCCTATGAGCACTTATTAACTTCTCACAGAGTAGACCAACCTTATCCCCACTTCACAGAGGAGGAGACTGAGGTTCAGAGACCTTACCTACCTAGCCCAGGCTCCCACTGCTGTATGTAGGGCAGACTGAGGCTGAGAAAGGGAGTGAGTGTGCCCAAAATTCTGTAGACTGGAGACCACCCAGATCTCCACCCAGGGCCACCCCGTCCACCGCATGAAGGTTAGACGTTAGGGGTTCAGTTCTAACTTTCTTGGTTCTAGCTCAGGCTTCCCAGAATCCTGCTTCATTGGGTAGTTTGTAAAGAATTCCTTTATCTTTGGGGTTGATGAGGGTTCCTCCATGGAGGGAAAAGACCTTGGGAAGTCCCTTCCTCTGCCTCTTCAAAGACCTCTGCATGGTGGTTGAGAACACATAATCAGGAGCCAGACCACCCCGGTACAAATCCCACTTCTGCCACCTACTAGCTGTAAGACCTTGGAAAAGTTCCTGAACCTCTTCTTGCCTTGGTTTCCTAACTGCAACATGAGGATAAAAATAGTACCTACTGCACAGAGTAGTTATGAGTAATCAATGAGTTAATACATGGCAAGTAATGGAAACAATGCTTTGCACCACATAAACTTGCTAATTGTTATTTATTCCATTGCTACCTATTGTCACTTTTATTGTTCTTTCCCCCCAATTGTCTGGAAGCTCCTTGGGAATAGGCCAGGCCAGTCCCCCCATGCCCAGCGGAGCAGGCCTGGCCTTCAAGTAGGGACTTAGTAACGGTGTGTGCTGGGCGAGGGAGAGCATGATCGGAGCCACGAGCTCAGTGAAGGTTCTTGAGGAAGATGCCTCTGGCCAACTTCCAAGGTCTCCCTTGGTGGCCAGCCAATACAGATGTCAGTGATGACCAGGGGACTTGTCTGGCTCACATAGTAGGCCTTTTGCAGTATGCTTAGAACCCAGGTCTCCTACTCCGATCCTAGTCTCCAACCACAGCACCAGCCTGTCTACAAGTTCCAGTAACTGCTGCTCTTTATTTCATAGCAAAGCCACCCTTACCTGCCCCACCTGGCCCCCCCTGTTTGCTTAAAATAAGGGAAAACGAGTGTTTAGAAGCTCAGTCAGAAGATGGACATGGAAAAAGTCACCTAAGAGGACACAAAATATCCTTCAAAGCAGCTGAAATGAACCTGTTGTGTATAACATTCAATAAACATGAATTTGGGGCAAATGGGTCATTAGATAAGGGGAAGAAAGACTGTAAGAGAAAGCTGGGAACACCTGGGTGGTGAGAGAAGGCTAGTGTGGCCAAAGCAGAGAGAGATGGGGCAGGATGTTCTTGGCAGAAGGGTCTTCACAAACTCTCACACTGACTTCACCTCTTGGGGGTTGGCTGCCCAGATGAGACCTCGGAGCCTTTTAAACACAAGTATCCACAGGAGTGCTTTTCCTGAAGCTTGTGCTGTCCTACAATCCACCCTGCGCTGGCCAGGAGTCGGGTCCCCAAGGATCTGGAGAACTCAGACAGGGTTCTAGACAGCTAGGTTGCTCTCTAGATTGGCCAGCATTCTAGAAACTCTTGGATAACCCTCTGAGCTCTGATGAACAACCCCATCCCCAGCCAAATTTCCAGAGAATCCCTCCTAACTTCTATACAATGTTTTAAAATTTCAGAGAGATCTTTTAAGGATTTGGAATTCTGGGAATCCCCTACAGTGTTTCAGGATTTCCAAGAGCTGCCCCAGATCTAATGTCCTGAGGTACCAATGTTCTAAGTCTGACTATTCTGGAGAAGTATTACCTTATTTCATGGGGCCAAAGAACTGCCCCACAATTCAGCATTCTGGATAAGGCCTATAGCTTTCAGGGTTCCAGACGTGCCCTCTGCAATTCACAGGTTCTCAGTAAGGACCCCTGGATTTGAAGTCTCGCTATGTCACTGGGTCCCGTGGAATTCCTCTAGTGTTTAAGGATTCTGGACAAGTGGCAGTTCTAGAGTGAGGATGCTGACTGGGAGATGGACACATGGCTTATGGGAGGGGGGTAGTGGAGACTTATCCCTTTGAGTCTGGCGTCTGTCCCTGGGAAAGTATGTGGGGGCTATGCTGAGCTGGAACTAGGAAACTCCATGGAAAGTTGTGGCTGGCTCCAGCAGAAGGAATCATCCAAACCCTAATGAACTGGCAACAGCAGCCGGGGGCCTGGGGGGCCCGTCCATCCTCCCAGGGCAGCTGAGGAAAGTGTCACGCTCAGAGCCAGGGGCTTCCTGCCTGAGGCTGGAGACCTCCCAGCAAGCAGGGCCACGAGCAGTGAGAGAAGGGCTCTGGGCAGGGGAGGAGCCCAGGCTCAAACCCACTGAGCCACCCAAGCTGACGTGGCATCGAAATTACCTAGAGCAGAAAAACATGACTTACGGCTTGAGTCTGGCTCACCCTCCTCCCCTCCTTCAGCTGTCTGCACAGATGTCACCTGCATGAGACCTTTCCTGTCCACCTGCTTTAGAACTGTACCTGCCCTGACAGAGGGACCTCCCCACTCTGTTTCGCTCCATAGCCGCCGGGATCTCAGTTTCCCTAACTATAAAATGGGAGAGTTAGGTTAGCCTTGTGGCTCTTTTTGTAATGAGGTCCTCCCACCGGCACCTGCAATTTCTCATGTCATGTCTGGGCTTCCCCTTAATTGTAGACCCACTGCGCCCTACTGGGCACTGTACCAGAAATCATGAGATTCCTCGCCTCTCTGACCCTCCCTAGAGCTCAACAGGACAGGGAGCTGTGTCCCCCATCTAACTGACTGAAAACCAGAAAGTGGTCTCGGGAGGGTGCAGGGCTTGCCCAGGGTCTCAGAGCAGGTCTGTGCCACCAGAACTCGGGGCTCATGATCCCTCCAGCACTGACACATGCGGCGGCACAGAGAAGCAAGCCCCTCGGTCCACCGCCTGCCCCAGCTGGAGGCCAGGTCAGTTTCCCTCAGGTCTCCTGCCTGGAGGTGCTCATCATTCCATTCCCCATGCTGTCCAGTGGTGCAGAATAGCCGCTCAATTAAAACGCATGTAATGCATGAAAGGAGATGGAAACCTGGAATATTCCTGATCAGAAGGGGGCACATGCACTTCCGCCAAGAGTCCCTGCCTCCCCTTCCTCAGACTCCCCCAAGAACCCCTGCCATCTGGGATGACCCCATGGGAAGTAAGTGACTATCCAAAGGACAGGACCAACCAAACTTGGAGCTGAGGCCTCTTTATTATGTACATTTCATCACCTGCTGCCTTGTTTGGGTTTCTGAATCCAGTCTCATTTCTTGTAGCCTGGGGTGGCACCCTCCCTTGCTCCCTGAAACTGCCCTCCAGCCTTCAGCCCCTAGCTCTCGGGAACTGTCCATGCCCAGCCAGACTGCAGAATGGATGGGCAGCTGCAATCCCCATTTAATAGATCGGGAGGCTGAAGCCCCAGAGCAAAGAGCCCAGCCCAAGGTCACACGGTGCTCTCCTGGGTTTCCATTTTGCTATCAGCAGGGAGGGAGGACTCGGCTAGGGCTCTGTTTGCTCTCACTGGGGGGTGGCTGGCTCCGGCCTCGTCGCAGGGAGCTGCCGATCTGGTCTCTGAGGGCCTCCAGTCTCCGGGCCAGGTTTGGAACTGTGGCCCCACCTGAGGGGCACAGCGAGACTCGAGGCCTGCACTACCCTGGGCTCATGAGGTCCCAGCATCCTCTGGAGAAGCCTCAGGTGGTACCCACTCGGCCCTGCCCCCACATACAGCATGGACTCTGGTATACATCTGAGGTATACACCAGACATGAAGGTCGCCCTAGCAAGAGAATTCCAAGTTTGGAGACTAGAGAGATCTTAGAAATTATCTCTCAACATGTACCCTATTTCAGAAATGGAAAGTCTAGGGCCTGGAGAGGGCGAGTTCTGGCCTAAGATCACAGGAAACCTTAGGGACCCCTCCCCCTTTCCCTTCCTCACCGTGTCTCAGCGCTGGCGATGTGTTTGGGGGCCCCACGGGCAGGGGAGGTGCAGAAGGTACCACCTCCTCCTCAGTAAGGGTCTCTGCCAGCACTCGGGTCTGAGTCCAGTCACTGTGACTCCTGGGCCAGGGGGAGTCGGGTGGTGGGAGGTGAGCCTTCGAGTTCCCAGGCCTCCCCCCACCCCCTGGCCCCAGGGCAGGGACCACCTCTCTCTTGGACACTTGGCAGAGCCAGGGCTGCATGGAGGTGCCCAGGGTGGGGGTCGGGCAGACAGAGGCATGCCATCTGGGGCCTTAGGGCCAAACACCTGCAAGAAAGACCACAGCTGACACTGGGTGACCTCAGCCCTACCTCTCTGTGCCCCACTTCCCTGGTGCTGACCACAACACTACCATCCCTGCCACACCTGCCCCATGTGCCCACCAGAATGTCAGATGGGCATAAAGGGGCAGGGTGTTGGTCACTTCTTCCATGGGCAGCGGGTGGCCCTTGTAATGTACTCTCTGGGGACTAGAAACTCCCTAAGGGCGGGAACCATGTCTGAACCCTCAGTGCCCAGAACAGGGGCTGGTACAAAGCCAAGAGCTTTGGGGAGGGTTGGGGAGCAAGCGAGTGGACACGTGAGTAGCAGATGCGTGAGTGAGTAAGGTGTAAGCGAATGAACGAACAGGCATCGGCAGGGCGAGTTCCCAAAAGAAGGCCGAGCGAGAACAGCGGGAGGCGAGGCAAAGGACGCTTATGAACCCTGGGCAGAAGGAGCCCAAAGCCAGCCACTTCCCCCACAACCCAGCCTGGGACCCTGGAGGCCCTGGAGCTCTGGAGCCTCCTGGACTGACCCCCTAGGTCAAGGTCTCCAGCTCTCCTAGGCTCCCCTCCCCTCTACCTTGGGGTCTCCTACCTGGGGCAGGTGGAGGTCCCTCCGTGGGCAAGCCCAGTGGACCAGAGGTGCTCGGCACAGGGGGCAGAGGTGGCAGCAGGGCCAGGAGCAGAGAGGTGGCAGGGCCTGCAAGAGGGCATGTCAGAGGCTCCCTGTTGTCCCCACTCCTTCCCCTTCAGGCTGGGTGAAGACTCACGTGGCAGGACGGAGCTGGTACCATCACACAGGAGCATGGTGGGGCTGGGCCGAGGCCGGGCGGGTGGAGGTAGCAGGCAGAGAGGAGGCGCCTGGAAAGAACGGGCCTGAGCCTGCAGCCCTAAACCCTACCACCAGGCTGGCCCCCACATCCCCCGTTCTAACAAACACTCCTGGGGCACTGACTATGTGCCAGGCACCATTACATGTGAGCTCATTCAATCCAGTCTCTAAAACAATCCTGTAAGGCCAGCACTGTATCATCTCCATTTTACAGATGAGGAAACCCCGGCCCTGAGAGGTGACATGACTTACCCAGTCACACATCTAGGAGGTGACGGAGCTGGAATTTGAACCCAGGTGGTCGGAAGCCAGAGGTCAGACTCTTAACCATTCTATTAAGCTACCCCTTTCCCACCTGCCCTCTGTCCCAAGGCCTGTGTCTGGGCTGCTGGCCGTGCTCACCGCTCCAGCTCGTGGACCTGCTGGGCCAGGATGCGCTGCTCATCCTGGGCCAGGTCCCGGCTACTCTGCAGCTGGCTCTTCTCTTTCCTGGGAAGAACAGGCCCCAGGAAGGTGGCAGGAAGCAGGGCTGGTGAGGGTGTCAGTCAGCCCTGCACTGCAGTGTAGTATAAGCCCCAGCTGGCACGTGGGGCCAGAAGGGAGTCAGGGACGGGGAGGGGCGGCTTGGCAGAAGCAGCCCTGCAGTGAGAGGGGCACTGATCCCCTGGCTAAGCCCCACCTCAGCCTCTCATTCTCCAGCATGAACTCCTGGAGCATCCCACAGAGGTTCCGCTGGGCCCAGGCTGCTCGGGTCCCACTGGATCCAGAGACTGCAGGGAAGGGGAGATGGCTGGATCCGCAGGAGCCCAGACCCTCTCCACATCCCGCCTGCACCCCCAGGGCGTTCATACCCTTGAGGTCCCTCTGGCCCAGTTGGGACCGTAGGAGACGGTTCTCTGCCTGGAGCTGTAATATCTCAGTCTCCAAATGCTGGGGCTGCTTCGCCACAGGGGACTGCAGAGAAATGTCCCAGAGCTGCCTTCTGTGCTCTGCACAAGGGCTTCCGGGGGCAGGGAGTGAGGGGAGTTTAAAACCAGCCCATGCTTCCCTCACCAGCCTTGCATCCTGGCACAAGGCTACATCCCCCTAGATGCCTATGGCCTTAGGTGAATGGCAGGAGGGGTCTAAGCTGGACCCTGCTGCTCCAAGTCCAACCCCAAACTCTGTTCTGTTCAAACCTTGGTTCAGATTCTGACCCCAAACAAGACTCCACATCAGACCCCAACTCAACTCCAACTTAATCATGATATCAGTTGGCATCAGGCCAGACCCTGAATCATGTCCCAAATGAGACTCCAACCTTAGTCCTGCCATACTCTGACCATGACCCCAACCCTGACCCCTACCCAGTCATGACCCCATCATCAGGATTTCAACTCTCATCCTAGTTCTGAGTCAATCCAAGATCTCAACTGTGACATCAACTCAGACTCCAACTACTGGGCTTGACCCCAACCATCACCCCTGCTGTCCTTCTGCCTGCATGTGCCTCCATTCACCTTGGGGGCCTGGGGCCGAGTGGTGACCCGCTGAGCTCGGCTGGCATACCGCAGGGTGCTGAGGGTCTCAGGAAGGCACTGGGCTGAGGGGGACACGCAGGCCACCTGGGGAGGATGCCCTTGAGTGTTCCTCTCTGGGACCCCCTCCCTCAGGCCCCACTCTTCCCTGCCAGCCCCCTTCAGGTACCATGAGGGTGACCCCACGCCCCCCCAATGAGTCCGCCAACAGCTTGGTGAGCTTGCTATCTCGAAAGGGGATGTGGCTTTGCTTCCGCCGTGGGTCCAGCAGCAGGGAGATGCAGTGACCTGGGTGGGGGAGAGCAAGGTTCACCCCTTGCCCAAGGCCATGCAGCTGGTCTGTGCAGAGCAGGAATCTCTGCCCACACCCCCAATGCCCAACAAAGGGCCTGGCACTCAGCAGGGGCTCAGGAAATGGCTGACAAATGGACTGAATGAAGAGGGGGGCCCTCTGGGGTGGAGGTGGGGAGACAGGTCAGTCCCCTTGGCCTCCCTGGGCCTCAGCCTTCCCAGTTGCACAAGGGACAGGTTGAATGTCTAAGGGCTCATGCTCTGCACTTGAGTGTATCTACCTCCCAGGTTAGAATGTAGCTTTATTCTAATAGAATAAAGTTTATGGGCTTTCTAGGTTCATCAACAAGGTTCTAAGAGGGGAGACAGGAGTCAACAGCAAGCTGAGGCCAGAAAGAGGCCTGTGGCCACTGGCTCACAGCTCGTTGTGCAGCACAACTCTTCTAGTTCCACTACCCCTCCTACCCCCCCCCCTTCCCGCCCTTCATAGACAGCTATGTCAGGCAAGAGGAAGGACTTGGGAAGTCAGGCTTGTCCCCCAGACCTCACCCAGGGCCAGCAGGCTGCGGTTGATGCTGTTGGCCTCAAGCATCAGCTCCCCACGGGATCCTGTGGCTGCCACCTTCTCACTGCCGGCCAGGTCTACAAAACACAGCTTCCCACCAGCAGGGTGTTCCCCAGGGTCCACAGGAGGTATCTGCTGGGATGGGGGGATCAGGGCTTGACGGGGACGTGGTTTCCACTATGACCTCCTGTGCATACCCAAGTTGGTTTATACACCCAGAGGCAGACCCTTGCTGAGTGGCCCTGGGCCAGCTCCTTGCCCAAGCTGGAGCACTCACAGCCTGGCGGTTGATATAGAGTGTGAGCAGGGCATGGCTTCGGCTGGAGGCCTGATTCAGGGTGTGAGCTGAGCTCCTTCTACGGCTGAGACCTGGAGAGGAAAAGCATCAGGAGCTGGACCTGATAGGAAGAGCAGGTGGTCACCAATGACGGAAAGGGAACAAAGGCATCCTGGTGAGGGGGGCCAGCCTGTGCAAAGGCACAGCAGCAGGAAAGGGGAATGATGGGATGTGGGTCTGGCTCTAGCACGCGCAGCAAGGAGGGGATGGAGAGAATGGATGAATGTCCCTCAGATTCGCATTTGATAAACATCCCTCATATTGCTGTGTGAAGGGGGAAGAAGGGGCAGAGATATCAGCTGGCATAACACTGGGCAGGAGCCCAGAGTCTCAGTACCCTCAGTGCCTGTCACGGGGTAGGTGCTCAATACACTTGGAGACTAGAACAGAGGGGCCCTTTAGGCTAGGCTACGAGGTATGACCTTTGCCCTTAGGACACTGGAGGGGAAAAGGGGTGTGTTTTGCTGCATGGAAGAGCACAGATTGGAGAGGGAAAGCCTTGAGGTGGGAAGACCTCTCTTGGGAGCAAAAAAGAGGCCTGACTGAGGCAAAAGTCCTGGGCTGGAAAGGGGTGGGCCCAGAAAGAGCATGGAAGGCAGAAGAGGCAGGTCTGGGGATGGGATGGGGGCCCTTAGCTCCCACATGGGTCAACTCTGATCATCCACAGCTCCAGGAGGGACCCTGAGTGCATTCAGTAAACAGCAGAGGGACAGGCTACCCCTGTACCCCAAAGCTCCCCTGAAGTAGCACGCACCCATTTGTAGCAGTTCCATCAAGGCCTCCAGACTCCCAAACTCCACCACCCGCAGCTGCTCCACATAGAAGCCCCGAGTCTTGTTCCAACGAACAGGGAGTGGCCGGGGAGACCCCAGGCTCAGCAAGTCTAGAACCTGGGAGATGAGGGGGGAGTGTGAAGGAAGGGGTCCCAAGTCCACCCACTCCCAGACCTTTGACAACAGTCCCCCCTCCTACTCTACCCCTTGACCCAAGCTCCTTGGGAAGCAAGGCCTCCATTCAATGGTGGGCTTTCTCTTCATCTCAGTCCCCACCTGCTCATTGTAGATCTCCAGATAGGAGGCATGGAGGGTGACAGGGGCACCCAGGTTTTGCACGCGGTCTAACAGCCAGGCGAAGGTCCTCTGCATGATGCCGGCCAGGCTGGGGGGTACCGGCATCCCCTCTCCCTGGGGGCAGAAACACCACCATAATAACTACCCTTTCTAGTGCCCTTAGTTACTGTGCCCAGGAACTATGCCAGGGTCCCCTAGAGCATCTCATTTACTCCTCACAGTCAGCACTATTGCTTCCATTTACAGATGACGACACTGAGAGCTAGTCAGCAAAAGGGACAAAACTTGAGCTCCACGTTGGGCAAGTCCCTTCGCCTCTTTGGGCCTCAGTTTCCTTGTCTGCAAATACATGGGGCTGAGCTGCCCTGTCCAAGGCCCTTCCCTCTGGGAGTCTGCACCGTCGGTGGCGCCCCACCGACCCCTGACCTGGGGGGCGCGCTGTGCCCACCTGGGGAGGTCCGGTCAGGGTGTAGGTCTTCCCGGAGCCCGTCTGGCCGAAGGTGAAGACGGTGCAGGAGAAGCTGCTGGCGGCAGGGGTGTGTGGCTGGACCTGGGCGGCGGCTCAGGGCAGCGC